TTTACAGGAAACACTCACCCTTATAAGGAAAAAGAATCAGGGCCCTGCAGTCCTAATTATAGCAAGGAGCCTCTGCAGCCTCTGCCTGGCTGACCTTTAATGGCTGTAAATTTAAATTATATTCAGGATGCCCCAAAAGTTTTTATTTGGTTGAGCTGCATTGGTGTTATTTTCTGAACAAATACTGCTAGTTTTTCATTTCTTTTTGCAGTTTACAAAGAATTTTTCACAAACAAAAATTTTTGTAAAGGGGAAGTGTACAAAGTGATATTTTAAACATTTGACTCTTCCATTTTCTCCAAAGCTGAGGAAAATAAGCCAATCCCATTTCCTCTGCCTCTAACATTTAGCTTGCACAACCACCTACAAGAGGAATTTTGTCAACTGCAGGTACATATGTGACACAACCAGTAATAGGCAGTTGTATTCAATTTCCACCCTCTAGCTCCAAAGTCCTTGCCTTTTCTGCTTCCTCACACTTCTTCTCATGAGGTTTTCAACTTTAAATAGGTATCTCTTAGGCACCAACACTTGCTTGTTAAATAAGCAAAGAGTAAAAATTGCAGTGCTCAATATTGGTGAGGGTAAGGGGACATGGGCACTTTTATATACTACTTATAGGAGTATTCATTGTTACAGCCTTTCTGGAAAGCAGTTTGGTAATTTGTATCAGAAATATTTTTTTAAAAAAAGCTAAAACCCTTTTTTCCAGCAATTTTTTTTTTTTTTTTTTACTTGATTGTACTTTAGGTGAAAGTTTACAGCTTAAGTTAATTGTCCCAGCAATTTCATTTCTGGAAATCTATTCTACAGAAATAATCAGATATACAAACATACATATATGTTTAAGCACGTTTATCTTTTACCTATAATATCTCAAATTGGAAACTTCTTGGAAGTCCAACATTAAGGGAATAGTTAAATAAGTTCCAACCATGTACTAAAAATCAGTAAATTCATTAAAAGGAAATGCTTTCATTAGCTTGGGAAATTCTCATGATGTTATAAAATAGAGAACACACACTTGTATGTACTATATGAGCTCAAATTTTTAACAAGAACAGGAACAACTACATACATGTCAAGAAAAAAGTTGATAAAAATTCAAGAAAATATTAACAGTTTATCTCTAGATTATAGGATTTAAGGTTATTTTTATATTTTTACACTGTCCTGTATTTTCTAAAGCATCTACTATATTTATCTTATTATGTATACATATATTGCTGTTGTTAGATGCTGTGGAGTCATTTCTGACACATAGCAACCCTGTACAACAGAAGGAAACACTGCTTGGTCCTGCGCCATCCTGACAATCATTGTTATGCTTGAGCTCATTGTTGCAGCCACTGTGTCAATCCATCTCGTTGAGGATTTTCTATATATCTAATTTTTAAAGAGGCATGAAGACCATCTTTTCCTAACGTATTTATCCATCAGAAGACCTTTCCTAGAAAGAGCGTTAGTTTTGCTATAAATGCTACATTTCTAATCTTCCCAAGAACAAAGTCCCTTAGAATTTAACTTTATTATCTACTTCTAAGAATCCTTAAACACTTCTATATTAAATCTCTACTAATCCTTCAACATGGTCTTTATTAAATTATCAGTTCCTTCAGGCAAACCATATATCATCTTGTCATTTGTGCACCTTTGTGTTTGGATTTGAATCCCAACACTCCATACAAGATGCGTGACCTAGAGCAAGTTTTGCATCTTAATTTCTAAAAGGGAAATAATATTAGAACTTACCTCGTAGTGTTATTTAGATTGAGGTTTAAATCAGATAATACATCAAAAGCATCTACAAAGTACATGGCAAATAGCAAGAACTTATTACATGTTATTATCCTTGTTGTTTTATACTTATATTTATAATTATGCCAGGTACTCGGGCTCTCAAAAATGTTTTTGATGAGGATGCTAATTAATATCAAATGAAGTCTAAATAGCAGTTATATTTAGTCTCTGATGATTGAGTTTAAGGTTTGAGAAAACAGGAGAACAAGGAGAAAAGATGAAATGCCCTTCCACTTGGCTTTACCTGAATGCATAGAGATGGGAATGGGGTGGCTGGGAGCTCCTTGGACCTCCACGTGGAAGAGTGTGGAATAGCTAAGTGTTAAAACAATATCTTTTATTTTTCTATTTCAGTATCCGTACGATCCTGACATTTTGAGACAACACAGATTCCTTCACTTGTAGCTGCCTCAGGCTCCTCCAATGATGCCTACATCATCTGAAGTACCAGCCAAGTGACACCATTAAATCTGTTTTCCAGTGATGTGATTAATTACACACGGGAGCTTTCCAAAAGAAAGAAAAATTGATATAAAATCATTTTCAAGCAAATGTTTAAAATCCAATGAGAGATATATGCAATGTTGAGCATCAGCTGAGTAATTGAGGCCAGTACGCTTTCCCTCTTCATCATTATACCCATGTTATCTTTCTCATTGAGGAAAGGCATTTCCTGCGACTTCGTGCATTTTCTGTGTCTTTGCTACACTTAGTCATTGAAGTCCACTGGAAGGAATCCTCGTTATTCATGTCACCAACCCACACATGAGGGGCTATTGTCCTTGAAGTCTTCTACTTCTACTCTACTTCCACTTTGTGTATTTTCCTTTTTATGAAATGTACCAAAATCCTAGAGTAAAAACCACAGCACAAGAAAAGATAGGCTCAGATTTATGATTGGAAAGGGTCCTGAACTTCTAAACCCAGAAATTTCAAGGGAAATGACACATATTTTCATAAAGCAAAGGGAATTGTCTTTTTATTCCTTCTATACTGTTTTGCAGTTAATGGTAAATATATAATTTTCCTTTTAAATAAAAGCAGATTTCATGCTCCATGTGGTAATATGAGGTTCAGATACTAAATGGGAAAATTAAACTATTCCTGGAACATATTCAAAAATTCCATAATTTTTATTCATTAAAGTGCTTTATTGGTTAAACAGTCTTAATGATTACAGTGCCTGAGAAATGGGGTATAAGGTAATTAAAAAGTGACTTGGCGTATAGGATGAGAACAAAACAGCTGTGAAGTCAGCTTGGAAAATGGGTTACTAAGAAATGGCAGAAGCATCCAAAGCAACATGTAGTCTACGTAGATATACACACATATACAGATGTACATTTTTACAACAATTATTTTCAATATGGAACTTTTCTAGTAACTAAAAACAAAAAACCAAACCTGTGCCATCGAGTCAATTCTGACTCATGACGACCCAGTGTGTTAGAGTAGAACTGCTCCATAGGGTTTTCTTCACTGAAATCTTAATGAAAGCAGATAGCCGGGCTTGCCTTCATAACTCTTTTAAATAGGATAAATTTGTTTTTTCATTACACATTTGCAGTTAAAGTTCAAAATGCAAAACTTCTCCTCAGAGTGGGAAAGCATTAACAAATGATCAATCAGCTTGCCATAAATCAATTCCATAGCCCTGGAATTAGCTTAATATTTTGAATATGTAGAAGTTGAGTTTTTACTCATTTGTTAATACTTTCCCACATTTTGAG